TTTATGTTCTCTATTGGTAAATAATTTGAAGGCAAGTTGTACATATGATCTTTTACCCCTATTTCAGCATGTATTTCCTAAAGAACAAGGACATTCACTTATATAACCACAATAAAATTACTGTATTTTGCTGTGTATAATGTGCTCCCATGTATCATGAGCGCCCACGTTTTTTGCCCAAAGTTTCAGGGGAAAAAAATCTTTCGTTTTAATTTTCTAATAATTTTTGTAAAAATATCAGCTAGATTGCTAGCTCCCGCCTAAAGTGTAGGAAGAGAAATGTTGTGCTGGTCACCCTATGGTAATAAAGTTGGCATCACCTATCTTATTGAGTCAGAGTCACTTACTCTGTGGACAACAATACCTCACTCTTCATTTCATTTAGTTGCATCATTGGCCGAAATTACTTTTGTTTCATGTTCATCATCAATTCAACAAAACCGATTATCAGATTCCAGGATTTTATTTTGTATACGGATATCGTTACTGATTTCTAGAGTTATACTTTGAACTCATAGGCATAAATAAAAGAATCAAAAACATTTATATAGATATGGAATTAATACCACCATGTATAATGTGCATCCTTATTTTTCCCTCACAAATTTGGGCAAAAAAGTGCACATTATACAATGGCAAAATACGGTATCAAATTCAGGGCATTTAACATTGATGTGATATTATTATCTAGTAAACCATCATATTCAAAATTTCCTATTGTCCAAGATATATTCTTTTTTCGTACATTCCTACTCATTTTTCCCCTCCCCACCCAAATTCAGGATCATCCATTGCATTTGGAAATCATCTCTTTAGTGTCCTTTAATCTGGAAAAATTCCTCAGCTTCTCTTTGTCTTTCACTATGTTTTATATCATGTCTCTCAGTTTGTGTTTATCTGATTATTTCCTCATGATTAGATTCAAGTTATGCATTTTTGACAGGAGTGTTTTCTTTTTAAATAAAGAGGAGAAACCAAAGAATAGAATAAACTTAATTTTATTCATTTGAAGATAGAATTAGATTTATTTGATGAGAAGAAAAGTTCAAGTTCCAAATCCAAGAAACAGGTATACTTAAACGTACATTTTAGAATATCATCAGAGATATTTTAAAAATTTAGCTAAATTATATTTGATTCCTACAAAGGCTAATCTATACTACTTTTCTAACTGTTAACAGCATTTGAGTAACTACTGTGTTTAGGATACTACAGTAGGCCCAGGACTCTCTTCCATTAAAGATGAAACACTGCGCTTCAGTCACAGATATGGATAAACAAGGGTTTAAGATGATATCTTTAGAAATCTTGTCAATAAATGATTATGGTTTGATAGGGGTGGAATTGTAAACTCATACAAGTAAAAGATAGCACAGTGCCTAAATATTAAGGAAATAATACACTCTAAAAAGTGGTTAAGTGCTTCCATTCACAGCTGTGGAGTCTCTTGTGCTCTCACGTTGCTGTGAGAGCATCTTCAGTAGATCACTGTTTCTAACGAGCACATACGTCTTCACTGTCCTTCTTGTGCTCGGAAGCCAGTCTCTTCTGCCATCCTGGTCAATTCTGCTTACCAAATTCCTGCCCATCTTTCAAAGCCCAATGCAACCTAGGCCCCCCTCCTTTCAGACCTTTCCAAACCCTCCCACCAGGTTACATGCTTATCTCTCTTAATACGTTGGGTATCTGTAATAAAAAGTACTGTGTCTTTATTGGACAGCTTTTGTATTGTGGTAAAATATACATAACAAAATTTATCATCTTAACCATTGTTAAGTGAACAGGTCAGTGCATTAAATATATTCATAATGTGATGTCATCACCACCATCCATCTCCAGAACTCTTTCATCTTGGAAAGCTGAAACTCTGCACCTATTAAACACTAACTCCTCATGACAGCCACCATTCTACTTTGACAACCACCGTTCTACTTTCTGTCTCTAGGATTTTGACTAGTCTAAGTTCCTCACATAAGTAGAATCATGTAGTATTTGTCTTTTTGTGACTGACTTAATTCACTTAGCATTATGTCCTCAAAGTTCAGCATGTTGTATATGTCAGAATTTCCCTCCAGTTTAAGGCTGAATAATATTACATTGTATGGATAGACCACATTTTGCTTATCCATTCATCCATGGATGGACATTTGAGTTGTTTCCCACTAAGTGAGTAGTTACTATGAATGTGGGTGTACAGATATCTCTTTCAGACCCTGCTTTCAATTCTTTTAGGTATATACCCAGAAGTTGGATCATATGGTAGTTCTATTTTTAATTTTTTGAGGAACTGCCAAACTGTTTTCGACAACAGCTATGCCATTATTTATTCCCACCAACAGTGCGTAAAGGCTCCAATTTCTCTACATCCTCACCAACACTTGTTTTGTTTAGTTTTGGTTTTTTGATAGTAGCTATCCTATTTGGGTGTGAGGTGGTATCACATTGTAGCTATAATTTGCATTTCCCTAATTAGTGATGGTAAGCATCATTTCATATGCTTATTGGTCATTCATATATCTTCTTTGGATTAACTTCCTTGGTTAATTTCTAAGTATTTTACTATTATATTTATACTATTGTAAATGAAATTGTTTTCTTAATTTCCTTTTCAAACTGTTCATTATTAGTGTATAGAAATGCAACTGATTTTTGCATGTTGACTTTACATCCTGCTACTTTGCTGAATTCATTCACTAGTTCTAACAGTTTCTTGTGGAATCTATAGTTTTCTACATATAAGATCATATCATCTGTGAATAGAGATAACTTTACATCTTCCTTTCGAATTTACATGCCTTTTATTTCTTTTTGTTCTGGCTAGAACTTCCAGTACTATGTTGAATAGAAGTGACAAATGTGGGCATCCTTTCCTTATTGCTGATGTTAGAGGACAAGCTTTCTCTACTGAGTACGACGTTCACTATGGGTTTTTTTCATATATGGCTTTTATTGTTTCCTTCTTTTCCTAGTTCATTGAGTGTTTTTATCATGAAAGAGTGTTGAATTTTGTCAAATGCTCTTTCTAAATTAAATGAAATGATCATATGGTTCTTTTCCTTCATTCTGTAATGTGATGTATTATATCGATCAATTTTCGTATGTTGAACCATCTTTGCATTCTAGGAATAAATCCCACTTGGTCATGGTGTCTAATCCTTTTAATATGCTGCTGAATTCAGTTTGCTAGTTTTTGTTGAGGATTTTTGCATTAATGTTCATAAGGAATATTGGTCTGTAGTTTTCTGGTAGTGTCTTTGCCTGACTTTGGTATCAGGGTTAATGCTGGCCTCCTAGAATGAGTTAGGAAGTGTTCCCTTCTCTTCAATTTTTTTGAGAAACTTACGATTTGTATTAGTCCTTCTTTCAATGTTTGGTAGAATGTGCAGGGTTTTCCTTTCTTGAGAGATTCTTGATTACTGATTCAATCTCCTGAATAGTCATAGGTCTCTTCAGATTTTCTGTTTCTTCATGACTTAGTTATGGTAGGTTTTGTGTTTCTAGAAATGTGTCCATATCAGCTAGGATATCCAATTTGTTCGCATACAGTTATTCATAGTACTCTCTTATAATCCTTATTTCTGTAGAATCAGTAGTAATCTCCCGTCATTTCTGAATTTAGTAATTTGAGATCACTTTGGTTTCATTGATTTTTGTCTATTGGTTTTCTAGTCTCTATTTCATTTACCTATACTCTGATCTTTATTATATCTTTCCTTCTGTTAACAATGGATTGAGTTTGTTCTTCTTTTTCTAGTTCCTCAAGTTGTAAAGTTAGGTTATTGACTTGAGATCTTTCTTTTTTTTTTTTAAACATTTTGGGGAATTGGGGAAGGGGAACATTGTGTTTTTCCAGGACCCATCAGCTCCAAGTCAAGTTGTTGTCCTTCAATCTTAGTTGTGGAGGGCACAAGCTCAGCTCCAAGTCCATTCGCCACTTTCAATCTAGTTTGGGGGGTGGGGGGCGCAGCCCACCATCCCATTTGGGAGTCGAACCAGCAACTTTGTTAAGAGCATGTGCTCTCATCAGCTGAGCCATCCTGCCACCTGTTGGCAGTTCAGCAGCAGCTCAGCTCGGGTGCAGCTCACTGACCCATGTGGGAATCGAACCAGCAACCCTGTAGCTCAGACCTTGTTGCTCTAACTAACTGAGCCACCCAGCTGGCCCTGTTGGTGTTTTGTTTTTGTTTTTTTAATGTAAGTGTTTATAGCTATAAATTTCCCCCTTAGCACTGATTTTGCTGTATCCCATAAGTTTTGCTATGTTGTGTTTTCGTTTACATTCATCTCTAAGTATTTTCTAATTTCCCTTGTGATTTATTTGATCCATTGGTTAAAAGTGTGTTAATTTCTACAGATTTATTCTCTGTTTTACTTCTGTTATTGATTTCTAACTTCATCCCATTGTGGTTAGAGAAGATACTTTGTATATCTATCTTTTTAAGTCTATTAAGACTTTTTTGTGGCCTAATATATGGTCTATCCTGGAAAATGTCCCACATGCACTTGAGAAGAATATGTATGCTGTTGTTGTTCTATACATGCCTGGTAGATCTAGTTGATTAAATTTGTTGTTTAAATCTGCTATTTCCTTACTTATCATCCAACTATTATTGTAGAACTGTCTATTTTTCCCTTCAATTCTGTCAGTTTTGCTTCATATATTTTGATGGTGTGTTATTATTTGCTAAATGTGTATCATTAGTTGGGCATCTTTATTTTTTGGAGAACACCTAGCAGTGTTTGGACTTCAGAAATTATTTCTTTAATCAATTAATAATGAATTTAAAGTTTTTGATAACAATGATAGAAGGGAAGTTCTATTCTTTTTTAAAAGGTGAGGAAATAAAATCTGGTAAATTCCTTTTTAAAAAGACTTTCAAAGAATCTATAGAACCTGCAACCCCTCCCACAGAGAAAATGTAAATGCTAGAAGTAGGAGGCGATTTTACTTTATATTTTTGGCATCATCACCATAACATTTTATTAAAACAAACATTGCCATGAAGTTGGTTGAAATTCCTGCTGTGTTCATTTGTTTCCATCCCCCCCCCCCCCCCCCCGCCCCGCAAGCAATCAAGCTGAAGAAACGTTTTCACTACTTTAAAGAGATACCCGCAAAATATATTCAGCTGTTCCAATGGGATTTTCTCTTAGTAAATCTGCTACTTGGGTATCTGCTATGTGTATGGATTCAAAAGTGGATGATCACTTAATGCAAGGGACTGAGAAAAGCAAGTTGGAACCAGTGACTCGGTTATTTCCAAACACCAAGAAAATAAAATTCAAAGACACAAACCAAGAAAACTTTATAAGAAGTAAAGCGACTACCATAGGATCTCTTTCGGAGAAAGCTTTGGGTTCAGTGGTTTATGTTAAAGAAAGTGATTGAATAGAAATGACAAATGTGGAATAAAATTATTTGTACATATTACCAAAGAAGCCAAAAATTGCTTTTGACTAAGAGGACATACTGAATGAGAATTTAACCTTATTAGGGAAGCCTAAGAGAATGAAGGAAGATGATTGCTTTTGTTTCTACTGTTTATGAATCACCTTAGACTGCGTTTTTTGATGAAAATTATTCAAAATTGTTGCTTTAGGGAGAAAAAGCAGATTTCTCTGGTATTACATTCTATCTTTGTCAAAATCAGAGTTTTTGACTAACAGTATTTAAATGGCACCAAAACATATTAATTATAATGTATTTCTTTAGTAAGTGATTAAAAAACATAAAACAGTGCCCAATTTCACATCAGTGTGTCACACTATTTCTGGTATACTGATTTTGTGTTAGATTTCCAGTTTGGGATTTTGCTTTAGGAGACTTTATCTTCCTGCATTTTTGCATTTCTGTTCTGTGAAAGTTCACTGCAGGTAAACTCTGCAAAAAAACTAGAAAATTGCGTACTTTGAGAAGTATTCCACACTTTAAACCATCCTTTTAAAACTGTTTTTTTTTCAGCCACATTGAATTCATTTCAGAGTTAGAAAATAGTTCTTTTGAAGTGTAACAATTTATCTTGCAGATGCTACCATTTTGTAACATCAATATTTAATATAATAGCCTAGTGCTAAAAAATTGTTTTATATATGTCAGCTGACCATTCTTATTGAAATATCTAGCAGTTTAAAACAGTATTGTCCCAAATAATGTTAGATGAAATTAAAACCATTTTGTGTCTGGACATATAGTGACCGGTAACTATATTATGTATGTTTTGAACATTTTCCTATACTTGAATGACTATCTCTAATGCCCAATTGAGTAATATCCTTAATATTCATAAAAACAAAGAAGAAAGGGCATCTTCCTTTAGGGGAAGCAATATTTTATAAATCAGAACTGTATAAACAAATGTAATATATCGGGGGTGCAAAAAAATGTATACACATGACTTGTATTCATCTTTTGTTATTAGTATATATTGAGTATTACAATTTTAATGTTTCCTTTCATAAAATGTGTATACATTTTTGGCACCCTCTGTATTTGTAGTGAATACTGAACCTACAGTAACAAAAAATATTGTTGAATGGCACATAAGCAATAATATGATGCTTTTTATCATTTACAGAACATAATTCTTTGGGAGATAAAACAATACACAAATCATTCATTTGTTGACCTAGCCTGGCACTGTGCTTGGTGCTGGGGGTATAGTAGTGAGTAAATAGCTAGTGCCTTTATGGTGGTTACTGTCTGTCTACCCAGGAAGACAGACCATCAGACAGTGGTTACATAAGATACAAACTGTGATGTGCCATGAAGAAAAAGTAAAATGTTCAGAGACAAAAAGGAGAGGAAACATAACACATAAAATTGATTTTTAAAATGTGGGAACTAGAGAGGCTTCTCTGAGGACATGACATTTATAGCTTTTGCAGTGATGTGGTTGTCCAAGTGAGATGATGGTGATGGCTGAGGTACTGAGAAAGGGAAAGAGTACAGGAGAAATTTGGCAGGACATATTGATGGTTTGAAAGTGGGAAGTGGGGAAAAAGGGTTTCTAGCAAAAAAGGCTAGATGCATGGAGGTTCCCAGGGGAACAACCATTTAAGAGTAAGTCGCTGACCTAATTCTCCATTGCCTCTAAATACTTTTTTCAAATTATTTAAATTTATTTTTATTTTTTAATTGAGATATAATTGACATGACATTGTATTTTATGTGTACAACATAATGATTTTATATATGTATATATTGCAAAATGATTACAATAAGTTTAGTCAACATCCATCACCACAGTTATCAATTTTTCTTATGATGAGAACTTTTAAGATCTACTCTCTTAGCAACTTTCAAATATATAGTACAGTATTGTTAACTCTAGTTATCATTCTATACATTATTACATCCCAAGGAGTTATCTACCTTGTAACTATAAGTTTGTACCTTTTGACCACTTTCACCCATTTTGCCATCCCCCCAAAAGCATTTTTGATTGAATAATGGACCTAGAAGCCATGTTGGAGTAGGTTGAAAAATGAATGGGAAGTAAGGAAGTGGATACAGGATGTGTAGCAACTCCTTGAAGCAGCTCAGCTCTGAAGGGGAGTACACAGGATAAAAGGTGGAAAGAGAAATGAGGTCACTCGTGGGTTGTGAAGATGAGATGGAGTTCATATTTGAGTGTCAGTGGAAGAAGGTTCTAGTGGAGAAGCTGAAGAAGCAGGATGGGGGTGGAGGGGTGTGGATCACCAAAGGAGAGACCTCTCAGAGCACAGAGGAAATGGGATTCTCGAAAACCACCTCAGTATGAAATTAGCGGGGAAAAACTAACATCTCAGATTTCAGAGAAATAGAATTTAGAAAGATGTAACATAAGCAGAGGGCAACAGTATAGTGTGGCTATTTTTAATGACAACTAGGGATATTCCTACTGGCCCTAACTCAACAGAATCCATTCCCATCTGTATAATACCAGAAAGCCAGAGTGACTTCAATCAAAAGGGTAATAAATAAATGAGGAGTCCTTGTGTCTTTGTGGTAGCTTTATTTGGAGCCCTGGCTATTTACCGTATCAGCATCACCAAATTGTGAACACTGGATGCTTCGCTGTGGGAGATGCAAGTCTTGGCGGTTTCTCTTCTAACTGAAGGAGAGATTGATTTCCGCGGAAGACTGAAAAAGAGGACCACAATTCTATGGTATCCTCTCATCAACAGGTGGGGTCCATTACCTCACCCCTTCACTCTGGGCTGGCGTTGCTGTTCCTTTGGCGGCTAGAAAGTGCCTGGAGTGCAAGTTCCAGGGCCAGGCCTGAACTGAGGTGCCCCAGCAGTCAGCCAGCACCAACTGTCAAGTGTGAATGAAGCCATTCTGGGCCTCGCCGCTCAGCCAACCCCTGCTGACTGAAGCCACATGCATAAGCCCATGTGAAACCAGCAGACGACTCACCCAACCTACCCAAAAACATGTTAGAAATAATAAATCGTTTTAAGCTACTTATGTTTGCGGCAGTTTGTTACGCACAATAGTTAACAGAAACTGCTGGGGAATTGCCCAGCTGGCTGAGCCACAAGGATTTTCTTGCCAGCTGCAATGAGGGGCACCCCATAGTGGTAACGTTCACGTGTTTGTTTGCTGACCCACTCCTTCCTACCTGTGGGAAATACCAGCGTTTATTCCTTTAAATATAATTTGTCTTTTAAGAATGATTTTAGTTTCCTCCCTTCCCAAGTGGAGTTATCTGCCCTTTGGACTATGAGGAGAAAATAGATAAAGATCCCAAACGTTCAGTAACGGTACTTGCTGGCGCTCGGGCCTAGCCTGTGTACCGAAGGCCCCGGGTTTCGGGCGGACTCCCCCAGACGATGCACAAGGTGCCACCTCCAGCCTGACACGGCCGCCCTACCAACCTTCGCCCCGGCGACCGTCAGCTCCGTGCTGTCACTTAGGGAGCGGCCATCTGAACTGGGGGCTCTAGGGCTCTCGGTCGTACAGCGCGTCTAACATGGTTTGGTCCTGGCTCGGTCGCTCCGAAGGACCCTTAGGAACCCAGCTGGCGCCCCTGCCCAGCGAGGCCCGGGCCGCGCCTCCTCGCGGCACTTCCGGGGCGGTGCCAGGAAGCGGGGCGGGGACTAGCTGCGCGCGCAGCCTGCCGGGCCCCGTTCCCCCACACGTCCTTGTGCCCCAGGAGCGCGCGCGCGGCCGGGGGCACGACCGAAAGCGGCAGGTGGGTGATGCCAGTTGCGGGGCTCCGGGGCGCAGTGGGCTGGGGCGGAAGGGTCTGCCCCGCGCCCTGGTGCTGGAGGCGTTGCTGTTTGCGCTCAGCGTTTGGGAGGACCCAGCTCCACGGTGGGAATGGTTTCTCCTAAACACAGGAGACTAAAAGTTAAAACGTGTTGGATGCCGGCTGTGTGCGCGCCCGCAGAGAGCTGAAAAGGCGAAATAAAATGTGCATACGACCGTCATTAAACACTCAGAGGTGGCAAAATAACTCGGCAAGGTTTTTTGAAGGAGCTGGGCCTGCCTAGATGGATAGTTGGAATTGTGTTATTTGTTGCATTCTGTTCGGTGATGAAGAAGCATGTTTGGCATTGCCAAGTGGTGATAGCTTAGTGTCCCCTAGAACATGGAAATAAAATTGTCCTCTGATGAAAAACTATGAAATGCATCATTGCAAGGTGAGAGTAGAGATAAAGTTAAAGAAACGAAATTGTACCAGGCCTTCAAGGCTTGACTACCAATATATCCTGACAACCAAAGGAAGACTATTATCATTCAGCTGGAGGGCCGATCTGTCACTGAAGCATGGAATAAAAGAGGGGCGCCTGTGCCGGGTGAATCCAGGCCTCCTCTAGGAGAGAGTATATTCTAGTGTTAATATCAGGATCTCCAGAGCTGCAGAGGCTCCTTAGGGCCGCGTCGCCATGGACTTCAGTGGAGTTAGAAGACTAGTGTGATTCTGTCCCTGAGGAGGGAGTCCCCAAAACCTGCCTTCCTATGAGACGACTGTCTTTGCATGTGCCTGGAACAAGCTACTCCCATGGACTTGATATACACCAGACCCAGTTCAAGTATCCCTCTGGTAAACCTCTCCTGACCTTTCCAGACAAAGTAAATTGGTTCAACTTTTCTCTAGCATAATTTACCAAAATATATCAAGAGTGATGAAAATGTGAAAATTCTAACCTGGGAATTGTGCTTCTAGGGCATTACTTAACTCTACAAGAATTTGGCCTAGTTATGGACTTTAGTAACCCATTCTATTCCAGTTCTTTAACCACAAGAAAAATTATGATCATCCTAAGAAACAGAATTAAAATAGAAGGGTTTCTTTACGACCATAACTAGTTAAAATACTTCATTAGTATAGCTAGTATTTTCAGCCTTTTGCCACCTAATATTTCATCAGCACTACTAACAAAAATGTGTAAAGTGTCCAAACATAATAAAATTGTTCATAGCCTTCCCATATAACCTGCTATTGTGACTGCCTCTGACCCTGACCTCAGGGAATCGAGCCTAATTTAATATTGATCTAAATAAAATATGCTGCCACTAAATCATATATCTCAAAGTCAAGTAGGAATTATTTTGAAAGTATTGTAGGACACACTTAAAGCTTTCCACAGAGATGTTCGTGAATACATTGTTGGTAGCACAAAAAATCTCAAACAACCTACAATTACAAACTAAGAGACTGAGCTGTGGTATATCCAACAGTGGAATATTACACATTAAAGCTGATGCAAAAATAGAAAAATAGATTTAATGTTGAATTATGTAATGGTATGGTTCCACTTTTCCGGGGGGGGAGGGGAGAAGTGTGTATGTTTATACATGCTCAGAAGAAAATGGGGATATGCTAAATTATTACTTGTGATGCTGTCCAGGTGGTGGTCGTATGGATTTTTTTATTTTGCTCTTTTTGTTTATCTGTATTTTCTCATTTTTCTCACTGAACATGTATTACCCTGTGAATTCAAAATAATTGGTTTAGCTTTGAGATACATTACATAATGTGTTTGCAGATTGTTTGAAAGATCTGTGCCCTTATTCCATTTCAACTGAAATTATCTGAGGTTTGTCCTCATTTATTTCCTTTGAATACTGTGTTATAGAATTGCTATAGATGAATGTTAACGCTAAAAGGCAAGAAAAGCAATTGTACTAGATACTTAGAGAATTAGGTAAGTTTGGATGAAGTAACCAAGAACTGATAACTAGAAAATAGAATTCAACTTTCCTTTTCTCAATTAATTTGTTTGTCTTCCATTTTTAAAAGCATGCCAATCCCATTTTCAAGGAAGAATTGCTTCCAGTTACTTTGTAACCTCAAGGTCCCAGCAGCTGGCTTTAAAAACACAGTAAAAAGTGGGCTCATTTTACAGTCAATTTCCAATGATGTTTATCAAAATCTGGCTATCGAAGACTGGATTCATGACCACATGAATCTAGAAGGCAGGCCGGTTCTGTTTCTCTGGAGAAATTCTCCCTCTGTTGTAATTGGTAGGCATCAGAACCCTTGGCAGGAATGTAACCTGAACTTGATGAGAGAAGCAGGTGTAAAACTGGCTCGAAGAAGAAGCGGAGGAGGAACCGTCTACCATGATATGGGTAATATCAACTTGACTTTTTTTACAACCAAGAAAAAGTATGATAGGATGGAAAATCTAAAATTAGTTGTCAGGGCTCTGAGTGCCGTCCAACCCCAACTGGATGTGCAACCTACCAAAAGATTTGACCTTTTACTTGATGGACAGTTTAAAATATCGGGAACAGCTTCTAAGATTGGCCGGACTACTGCTTATCACCATTGCACTTTGCTATGTAGTACCAATAGGACCCTTTTGTCTTCTTTGCTCAAGAGCCCCTACCAAGGGATCAAGAGCAATGCCACTGCTAGCATACCTTCCTTAGTAAAAAATCTCCTGGAAAGAGATCCCACCCTGACCTGTGAAGTACTGATGGATGCTATTGCTGCAGAGTATGCTGCTTGTCATCAGATTGACAAACACATCACCTTAATAAACCCAACAGACGAGACACTGTTTCCTGGAATAAACAGCAAAGCCAGAGACCTACAAACCTGGGAGTGGATCTATGGCAAAACTCCAAAGTTCAGCATAAACACTTCCTTCAATGTGCTCCATGGACAGTCACACTTGGAAGTTAAAGTATTCATAGACATAAAGAACGGGAGAATTGAACTCTGTAACATTGAAGCACCTGATCACTGGTTGCCCCTGGAAATATGTGACAAATTAAATTCAAGTTTTATTGGAAGTAGGTTTTGCCCAATTGAAACTACTATGCCAACAAATATATTACATAGAACATGTCCAGAAGACGATGATCTACACAGCAAATGGAATATTCTCTGTGAAAATATTAAGGGAATAATGTGATTCCAAGTAAATTAGTATTGACAGTTTCAGTGAGAAAATAAAATTTTTCAATGTATATTGTAGGTCTCTTGAAATAAAAAAGGCCTAGTCTCTTTCAGTAACATCTTCCCATTTGAAAGTGTCACCTTGTCCATATTTTCTCCTGACCTCTAGGATACTGTCTCTTTCTGCATTGATTTTTTTTTTTTTAAGATTTTATTGGGGAATTGGGGGAGGGGAACAGCACTGGAGAATCGGGGACGGGGAACAGACAAGTTGCTGTTCTTTTGTTCCTTAGTCTAGTTGTGGAGGATGTCGCTTCACTGGCCCAAGTTGGTATTATTGCGCTCTTCCTGGCTGAGGCAGATTGGTCGGCGGCTCTTGGCAGCTCATGCAGGCTGCTGGTGGTTCATGGTAGCTTACGGCAGCCCACTGCAGCCCCACTGCAGCCGACACCATCGCTGGCGACTCGTGACAGTCCAGCTCTAGGTCGAGCTGTTGTTCACCATCTTAGCAGTAGAAGGCGCAGCGTCACTGGCCCTCATGTGGGATCTGAACGGGGCCCTGCTGCTCAGAGCTGGCGTCCCAAGCCAACTCAACCAACACACCACTCGGCCGGGCCCTGCATTGATTTTTTTTTTTTTAAGATTTTATTGGGGAATTGGGAGAGGGGAACAGCATTGGGGAATTGTGGAAGGGGAATAGACAAGTTGCTGTCCTTTGGTTCTTAAGTGTAGTTGTGGAAGACTTTGCTTCACTGGCCCATGTTGGTATTATCATTGCACTCTTCCCGGCTGAGGCAGTTGGTCGCCAGCCATTGGACGGCCGCTCACAGTGGCTCTTGGCAGCTCACTGCGGTTGCTGGCTACACACGGTAGCCCATGGCAACCCACTGCAGCAGGGGCTACAGCCTATGACATCGCCGGTGACTCAGGCAACCCAGCTCCAGGCTGAGCTGTTGTTCAGCATCTTAGCTGTAGAGGGCAGTGTCACTGGCCCTCATGTGGGATCCCAACCAGGGCCCTCTGGTGTCCCAAGCCAGCTCTTAACCAACGTGCCACTTGGCTGGCCCCCCCTGCATTGATTTTAATACCTGGCACACATTTATATTTCAGCTCCTGCCTGTTATACCATCTTGGGGATGTATACTATATTGGACACTGACCTCAGAGTTCTTTTTCTTACATGTGTGAAATATAACCCAGGCTTCTTGCCACCTCTGATACCTTAAACTCTAAAATTCTCCCTTTTAGTTATATTTTCATATCCTTCCATCCTTGCCGTATCCCGCACAGCATAGGTGGTGGGGAGAGAGAGGGGCAGCGCAGGGTTAAAGAAACACAAGAGTCAAGTATAGAGTTAAAGCAGGGCCAAGGGGCTGCAGCCTCCCTGGAACTGAGCCCCAAATTGGGCCAACGCGTAGCTTTTATTGAGAAGCTTCAAAGAAGTGAAACTTGTTTATTCTAAAGTTGTGTAATACATGCCTTATGGCTGTTTTCCATTAACCTGCCCAATTGTATTCCAACACTTGCTGTGCCTTCATACTCCCTCACACACAACCTCCAGGATGGCATTGCTGTACTGCGGCCATAAAGATAAGGGAGATAACTGACATCATTCCACCCGGTCTCAGCATTCTGAGACACTCCCTCATGACCTCATTAGGTCAGGGGTTGGTGGGGGGGGGGCAGTCAAGGATGAAGCTGTAAGGCAACACACTGTAACTGAAAAAAAATGTTTAATTTTTAAAAAGAAAGAAATACATAATGACTACAGTAAATAAGGCATTTTATCTGGTTAAAAAAAGGCAGTTTGTTTGTGGACCTGGGCATCGGAAGGGTTACAGCTTTTGAGTTATTGTGAAGTGGGGGAGGGGTTACCTGAAATCCCACAAAATGGTGTAACACCAGGTGTAGATGGGCTTGGGTAGTGAGCTGAGTTGCTGGTAGATGTCTGAGCTGTGTGTGTGTTGTGTAGTCCTACATGGCTCTGTTAGAATGGGTGCAGTTTTCTGACTCCATCCATGTTCCTCACAGACTAAACTGCATAAGCACATCAGATTGTTTCACAACATAGCAATGCTGTTGAAGCCCATTCTCATTTTCAAAACAACCAACTGACTGGATTTGTACATAAACAAATAAACAAACAAACGTCACTGCAGCTTTGGAGGGTTTCAGAGGGAGCAGAGTTAAATATGTGTGTTCACTCTGCCATATGTAACTGGAAGCTGTCATTTATTTCTTTACCTGGGTGCCTCCCCCAAGGAGACAGTGGGATCTTCTGGGATAAGGACTGGTGACTCTATCTCCGTACCCCCACTGTTTGGCACAGCATCTGACCCTCACTAAATGCTCACTACTCTTTGTTGAACAGAGTTGAAATGAATTTAATGCATCAAATAGACTTTTATGTGACTTTATGAAGACAGACTATTTTAAACAGATTTCCATCTCCAGGGGATGCCCTTGACTTCCTGGAACATACAGGTGCCAAACGTTCTAGCTGGAATTTCTCCAGTCAACAATTCCTCAGCCTAGCTAAACACTTCCTATTTGAGACCTCACAAGCAAGAGCCAGAAAGCTCTGAAAGAGGCT